CAATCATGCTAAACTCAAGACGCTATGTCGTGAAAGCTTGTCACTGCAGCAGCGCTAACTCCTGATGCAAGAGACGCACCTCAATGACCCATTGTCGATGTTCTCCATGATACGATCCTTTTCTTTTTGTGAAGTAGTGCCACATAAAATCGATGCCGCAACTCCATTCAGCCTGAACAGATACACTTTCGATCAATCAGTATCCATTTGAGGAGAAATCGTGCACGTGGAACCGCCGCGCGCTGTTCATACACAGCGTTTTGGGATGGCAGAAGTGGAAGATAATAGTAAAAAATGGAGCATCCTGAAAGGGAATCACATATCTACTGAAAAATTTGAATCCCCCGGAAATTAGGGTGCATGTCGATCACAGGGGCCGAAAAACCGGTGAATTTGAGCGGTCGAAACGAATAAGATACGTATTGGTTGGCCTGCCCCGCTCAAGTGGAGTATCAGGCAAACGACGGAAGGGATGGGGTACAAACTAATCGATTCGCAGCCGCCATCTGGGTTTCTTTGAAAGATAGCTATTCTTTCAGATTTCGATCGTCTTAATCTAAGGCGCTTGTTGGCTTGGACGGGGCATTTTGCACGTCTTTAGTTCGCTTTGTCATTCATATTGATTAATAGATTTCACTTTGGTGCCTGTAAACTCCTGTGAAGCTGCGGACGGTGCGAATGAGCCACACTGGTCACAGGAAATACACGTCTTCATAAGCTGGCCTACAAGCTAAGCTGAGTCTCAGTCGGTGTTCCCACGGAACCGAACGGCGTCCGATCGTATCGCTCACTATTTCACAAAGAGAACACTACTAAAATCTTACGTGAGGCTCATCATTTGATCATTCATCAATGATATCAGTGGCGATATCACTAATGTCAAGGACGAAGACATCAATCCTGGTAGTTGATAACACACACTTTTGCCATATCCTGAAAACTGTCTCTGTCCAACCATTTCTCAAGGAAAATAGTAAGAATGAACAAGAAAAGGAACAGACCAGTCGACATAAGCACTAGCTGGTCTTTTCCTTCCAAGGCATTCCTCACAATGTCCCACTGTTTAGGACGGAACGACGGATGGCCAAAGTAATGCTGAAATGGGAAATTTTTCATAGAACGGGTATATAGAACGGGTATTCCATACTCCTTCCATGACTTCCAGTCCTGGCTTTAGATCCCCACTGCCCCACTATACAGGGGGGGGGGGCAAAAAAAAGCCACTTTCCTTCCTTGATATCCGAGGCGTTATAATTACCAGTCGGCTCGCCGGCTAACGCCGGCGCGCCTCCTTCTGATACGGCCCGGCTGCGCCGGGCGAGCGCGGCTTCGCCGCGCGTATTTTCTTTCACATATTTCTAGACTCAACTGATATCCGCCTTTTGTTCTGTACTCCACTTTTTTCCGGTGTCTGAAGTACTCTTGAGCTATTTTACAGATTCTTCGTCTGACTCCGCCCACCTCGGAGCAGGCCCCGCCCACAATGTTTGTGCCCCACAATCCTCACCGGAAAAAAGTGGAGTACAGAACAAAAGGCGGATATCAGTTGAGTCTAGAAATATGTGAAAGAAAATACGCGCGGCGAAGCCGCGCTCGCCCGGCGCAGCCGGGCCGTATCAGAAGGAGGCGCGCCGGCGCAGCCTCCTTCTGAT